CAGAACTGGGATAATGCCAGTGGATAAATGACTCTTCCCAGCCATCTCCACAGGGAAGAGGGGTGGGAATCAAGGGAATCCAGACTCAGGAGAATTCTAGTGGAGAAATGAGTTTTCCCAGCCTTTTGCACTTGGAAAAGGGTTGGGAATATCCAGGATTCAGAATTAGGATAATTCCAGGAGATAAATGGCTCTTCCCAGCCATCACCACTTGGAAAAGGGTTGGGAATGAAGGGAGTCCAGAATTGGGATAATTCTAGTGGAGAAGTGAGTTTTCCCAGCTGTCACCACATGGAAAAGGGTTGGGAATCAGGGAATCCAGAACTGGGACAATTCTAGTGGAAAAATGACTCTTCCCACCCATCACTCACCACTTGGAAAAGGGCTGATAATCCAGGGCATCGAGAATTAGGATAATTCTAGTGGATAAATGAGTTTTCCCAGCCTTTTGCACTTGGAAAAGGGTTGGCAACCCTGGGAATGCAGGACTGGGATAATCCGAGCAGACAAATCCCTCTTCCCACTAATTGTGCTTTTCATTAAGGTTTGGATTCCCACCTCCCTCCTTGTGGTGGAGGGGCAGGAAGTTCCTGTTCAATACCCCAAATGAGCAGGAATTCCAGCAGAAGATTCCCTGGTTTCCCAGGCCTGGCCCCCTGGGGAGCCTGATGCCAACGGCAGCGCTCGGAGCTCAGGGTTATTTATAAGGAACTTCCTGCCAAGGCTTGGATTATCCCATAGGCACAGCAGGTGCTGGAAGCAGCTCTGCTCTGGGCTGTAAAGATCCTCAGGATCCATGGGATCCTCCCGGGATCCACAGGATCCTCCCGGGATGCTCTGCCAAGGGATGACCCACCCCAAGCAGCTCCGGCGCCTCCTCCTCACCCCGCTCCCAAATCCTCCCCGGGAAGGGAATTTGGGGATGCTGGGAGGCGCTGGGAGGTGCTGGGGTTCCTCAAATCCCTGGGATGCGCTTCCCAATCCCAGAGCCATTCCTTACCTTGTGATAAACCTCCTGCAGGGAGCTCTGGGCGCCCTCGGAGGCCGAGCCGATGGCTCTGGCGTCGCACTGCACGAACGTTCCCGAGGGATCCATGTGGAACCTGCGGGAACAGCGGGGCCGGCTGCATCCCAGGGATCCTCCCACCACCCCCCCAGAGCTCCTGCAGTTGGGATTCATCCCCAGGGATCCTCCCACCACGCCCCCAGAGCTCCCGGAGCGCCTGCAGTCGGGATTCATCCCCAGGGAATCCCGGGGGTTTATATCCCAAGGAGGTACCCCCTGGGAGGTTGGGAAGCTGTGCTTTGGGATGAGCTTTCCCTGAGAGGGGCAGGAAAACTGGGAATGGGGGGCCCTGCAGCCACCTGGGACCCCCCCAGGGGCTGAATTTGGGGTGTTCCTAGACACAGGGAACAGGGAGTGTCACAGAACACATCCCATTCCAGGCTGGGAGCCTCTGGAATCCCAGTGGTGCTCCAGGGGCCCCTGGAATTCTGGAATCCCATGTCCCCAGGTGCCACATCCAGGTGTTTTCTGGACAGCTCCAGGGATGGAGGCTCCAAACCCCCCTGGGCACTCCAACACCACCTTTGTTACCCGGGGAACAATTTCCCTTTGGATTTTCCCCCTTTCTCCAGATTTTTTGGAGTCAATCCAGCCCGTTTTCCCTGCTGGGAGTCGGGCCTTGCTGGGCTGGCTCTGCCAAGCCCTTCCCACCTCCAGCAGGGCCCTTTGAATCCCAGAGTTCAGGTTACAGCCACCTCCCCAAGGAATGTCCCAGGGATTGGGTTACCAGCCTCCTTTAGGGAAAGGGAGGAATAAACTCGGCCCAGGGAGAGCTGGAACGCTTCCCTCTTTCCCAGGAAAGCACGGCTTTAACCCAGAAAACAAGGATTTGGGGAAGATCAGGGGGTGTTTCCCATGGGAACAGCCAGGGAGGGCTCAGGGAAGGGATCCATAACGGGGCAGACACACAGCGGGATAAACCCTTTGGGAAAATCCCCGAATGCGCCCAGCGGGGAGTTCCCAGGGGAGGTTTGGATGTTCCCAAAGGATTCCAGGAGCAGCACTCACAGCTGGGGGCCCTTCTCATCCACTCCTCCGAAGAGCAGCGCGACGCCGAAGGGGCGGGACTGCGGGAGACAGGAGGGGACAGTGGGACACGGAGCGGGACAGGGGGGATCAACACCCCCTGGAGCCCTCCCGGCATTCCCAAATCCCTGCCGGCACCCACCATGGCTCCGGGATCGGCATCTTCCTCCCCAAACTGCAGGGCCAGGTTGGACACGGCCTGGGTGACGCTCTCCACCGTCATCGTCTCGTTGTAGGTGAACCAGTGGTTCTGCAGGGAAAGGGGGACGAACATTCCCGCTATCCCTGTGCTCCCGGGAAACATGGCATTCCCGGGGGGCTGATGGGATGGGAGGAGCGTCCCCCTGGGTGAACACACAGGGATTGTTTCCCTGGGGAACTCGGTGCCTGTCCTCCCGTGGAAGAGCCGGGAAGGGCAGAAATCCCCGGAAAATCCCGGGATAACCAAACCTTGGGATAACAGCAGGGAAAGGCAAGGCTGGAATGCCTTATCCCAGCATCTGTTCTGGAAGCAATGGGTTATCCAGCTCTCCAGAGCTGGGCAATACGTAGGAAATATGTAGGATAATATGTAAGGAAAAGCCTCGGGAAAAACCTTTACTCCAGCAGGGATTTGCCCCTGGGACCTTGGAGCATCCGGGAAATTTAGAGGGATAAAAACCCATCCAATACATCCAGTGTTTTGCCAAAACAGAGGCAGGCACAGCCCTTGTGCTCCCAGCAAACCTCCCACTCCGCACCTTTCCCATTCCAGCTCCTTTACTGGAATGATCTTCCCTTTCCCCAGACTCCCAAGGCATTCCCAGGATTTGTGGGGCCGTTTTAGGGATGGGAACGTGGGATCTCACCTGAGTCTCCACTCGGGCCTTGTCAATCAAGGTCTTGGCATCGGCGATCAGGCCACTCATGGCACAGCCTGGAATGGGACAGGAATCATTCCACACTTTCCTCGGGATGAGTTTTCCTCCCAAACTGCCCCAAAACCCACGTGAGACACAAAGTTTCCCAAGAGGGAATGTGGGAATGGGAGAGGGTGGGATTTGCCCCCCCTGTGCTGGGCACTGGAATTCCACACCTGGAATTCTGGGGGCAGCTTTGGATCCCTCAGGGCAAGAAGGACATTGAGGTATCCAGGGATGGGGAAGGGGCTGGAAAACCAGGAGCTCATCCCGAACAAAAGAAGGCTCAGGGGGGACCTTCCCCCTCTCCAGAATTCCCAGACAGGAGGGGGGAGCCGGGGGGGGGGTCGGGCTCTGCTGCCAGGGAACAAGGAGAGGGAACAGCCTCAGGCTGGGCCAGGGGAGGGTCAGGTTGGATACTGGGAAAATTCCTGCCTGGAAAGGGCTGTAAAGCACAGGAAGGGGCTGCCCAGGGGGTTTGGAATCCCCATCCCTGGGAGCATCCAAAAAACACCTGGATGTGGCCCTTGGGAATGGTTGCACTCCATGACCCCAGAGGGCTTTTCCAACCTCGAGGATTCCCTGATTCCATGGAAACAACCTGCTGGGAAGGGGCCCTTCCTGGCTGACCCGCAGCAGGAGCCCCTGGAACAGCCCCCAGGGGGAGGGAATGGGACTCCTGGAGCTCTTCCCATGCCCCCAGAGCAGGAATCTGGGAATCTGGGAGCTCTCCTGCCCTCCAGGAGCCTGTGGGGGGGCCCTCAGGGCAGAGGTGGCTCCGGGTTGGCTCCGGCTCTCCCAGAAAAACTGGCCTGGAGTCAAATCCCTGCAATTCCCTGCCCTTCCAGAGCTAAATTTGGGATGAGGGAGGTCACTGAGGCAGGGGCAGTGCTTCAGCTGCCTCTTCCCAGCTCCTGGAGCTGGCCTGGAGCCTGGAAAACCAGTGCCTGAGAGCACTGGGAGGGCCCATCCCAAAGCACAGCTTCCCAAACTCCCGGGGGAGGGATCCTTGGGATATAAACCCCTGGGATTCCAGAGGTGCTCCCAGGGCTGTTCCCAGAGGGAGGTCTGGCCCTGGGATGGGATGCCCAGGGGGGTTTGGAGCCTCCATCCCTGGAGCTGTCCAGAAAACACCTGGATGTGGCATCTGGGGATGTGGGATTCCAGAATTCCAGGGGCTCCTGGGGCACCATTTAGGATTCCAGAGGCTCCCAGCCTGGAATGGGATGTGTTCTGTGACACTCCCTGTTCCCTGTGTCCAGGAACACCCCAAATTCAGCCCCTGGGGGGGTCCCAGGTGGCTCCAGGGCTCCCCATTCCCAGTTTTCCTGCCCCTCTCAGGGAGGGCTCATCCCAAAGCACAGCTTCCCAACCTCCCAGGGGGTACCTCCTTGGGATATAAACCCCCAGGATTACAGGGCTGTTCCCAGGGCTGTTCCCAGGGCTGTATCCCTGTTCCCAGGGCTGTTCCCAGGGCTGTTCCCAGGGCTGTTCCCAGGGCTGTATCCCTGTTCCCAGGCTGT